TTTAGGAATTAAACATAAAATACAGAAGCAGTGTGGAGTATCTACTGCAATGCCCCATGGTCTGTGGAGATTAGATACTGCTCGCCATTATAAATAACCCAGAGTTTCTGTGTATTGTTACCATACATGTACTCACGGGTGGCCAAATTTACCTAGCAGGATCTTCTCCCTGTAAAGCTGGCTATATGCTAGTAGATTTTCCAACGAACATTCGCATTCATATGAAAGTTCTTTTTACATTGACTGGATGAATGTTATACCAAAGTACTTAAAAATATTGTTTGCTTTCAATATTCGATTTTGGAATGAATGTCATTTCTCGAATGAAAACCACACATACTGTTATAAATTTGTTCATTCTGGAAAAAATTTTCTTTCCTGCTCCTTCGAATGTTCTTGTCACCGCAGTAGTAAAAAAAAAAAAAGACCGTCGATTTGACCTAATGATTAGAAAATTGAATGAATGTTCTTAAAATGAAAACCTATGAACACAGCTCTATTAGTATATAGCCAACTTTACTTTTTACTGTTCAGCTCTTGTGTTTTACAACTTCTTTCTCCCAGTATATGTCCATCAGTCATGTCTAACTGATCAAAAGAAATACTCTTTCTGCACAGATTTTATCCCAGGAATTGCTGAGCAGGAAGGTTTTCTGATAGACGTGAAATACAGTAAGCCCTAGATGGATGATAACTGAGACGGGCAGCACAGTGGCTAAATGGTTAGCACTTCCGCCTAGCAGCACTTGGATCGTTGGTTTGAATCCCAGCCATGGCACAACCTGCCTGGAGTTTGCATGTTCTCCCTGTGCCTGTGTGGGTTTCCTCTGGGTGACCCGGTTTCCTCCCACACTCCAAAGACATGCTAGTAGGCTAATTGGATCCTATCTAAATTGGCCCTAGTATGTGTATGTATGAATGTGAGTTAGGGACCTTAGATTGTACACCCCTTGAGAGTTAGGGACTGATGTGAATGTACAATATATATGTAAAGTGCTGCTTAAACTGACGGCGCTATATAAGTACCTGAAATAAATAAATGCAGTACTGCACATTTAAAAATATTTCTACAGAAATCTCTTTCAGGCAAACAGTATTATTTATTATTATTTTTTAGTTTATTACAGGTACTTATATAGTGCCGTCAATTTACTCAGCGCTTTACATATATATTGTACATTCACATCAGTCTCTAACCCTCAAGGGGTGTACAATCTAAGGTCCCTAACTTACATTCATACATTTTAGACAGGGCCAATTAACCTACCTGCATGTCTTTGGAATGTGGAAGGAAACCAGAGTACCCAGAGGAAACCCACGCAGTCACAGGGAGAACATGCAAACTCCAGGCAGGTGGTACCCGGGTCGGGATTCAAACCAGCGAATGTAGTAAAAGAATAAAGTAAAAGAATAACTCCTTATAATATGTATCCTTTTTTTTTTGATCCAGATGAGGCTTGTGAAGACAAGGCTACTGCAAACTGCTCGCTGGTGCTGAAGGTGAAGCTGTGCTCACACTGGTATTACCGGAAGGCCTGCTGTCGGGCCTGTGGAGGGAGAGCTTCATGACTCCCACATACCCTCTCCCTTGTATTTGTGAATTGTGTACATTGCAGATTGTGCCTGACGATCCTTCCACGAATAACCCTGCCTTCAATTTTTGGTAGTAGAACAAGTGCGTCTGGCAAACAATATTGTTACCTCTTCATTGTGATTTATTCCATTTGGTGTCTAGTGATCAATCCGCTGTTCATTGTATGTCTGCATTTTTGGAAAATGCCCTGTAAAAGACATTTGTTTTCATCCAAACTGACTAGACAACAGAAACCCAATACAGTTTTCGAAAAACAGCCCTTCATGTGGAAAAAAGAATGATCCTGTTTGCAGGGTGTCCATGCCTCTAACTGTATTTGTAAGACGTCATTCATATGGGTGTACTAAGAGTACATGCAAGCAAAGGGCTGTTTTTACCCACTCAGGATGCCCACCTCTAAAGACATAAATGGGACTGCCTGCACCCGGGTGCATGGAACACTGTTCATCCTGTGAGGGCAAAAATGGCCCTTTGCATGAATGTAATCATAAAGTGTTACTAAACCCACAACAGTAAAATCAGTCTGTATATGCAGTAAAACATGCTTGTTATACTCACTGTGGAACCTAAGGGGTTAATCCTCTGCATTGTGTAAAAAAGATGTTTGATCTTGTCTTCTCTGATCCTCCCCTTCTTCTACTGTGACCAATCCATCTCGTGATAGAATAGAGCCTTGGGGGCATGCTGCACATGATCAGTTTAGTGTGTACTGCTAGAGTTTTTTTTTTTCTTGGGAGAGTGCATGTGGTCAGCACAGGGCCAATCAGCACTGTCCAGACAGAGGGTCAGGGGTCCTGCAGCTTCATAGGACAATCAGGGGAGAATGAAAACTCCTCCTACAAGCTTTAACCAGTGCTTTGCTGGACACTGATAGACGTCACACGACTGCTCTAACTGCTGATGAAAAAAGGTATTTAGCAGTTTCTATTTACTAAAATAATTGCATTTCCATATTCTGTGTACTGTGGGAGACCAGATATAGTGAATGCAGGGTCCGAGGTTTAGTAACACTTTAAGTACTCTCTTGTGAACAAGGCCTAAACAATTCAAAATAGCACCTGTGTCTGATGGCTCCTCTTCCCCGGTACCTCATTGCATGATGAAACCAAACCACGAAAAAAGCACAATGAGTTCTCTGTTATGTCCTATGTAAATTGTGCTGTCCTATAGTTGTGGAAGAAGGAACACTTAATTTGTTAGGCACCTGGGTTGTGAACTGTATTTACATGCTTTAGCAATCTACCTTATCAAGCAGCACACAGAACCCAAATACTGCTTACTTGTGGCATTTAGAGAAAAGTAAAGGGCTATATTGCAAATATTCAACACAGCACAATCAAGGTGCCAGTGAATGCACGGGCCTACTATAATCCGTAAGACCATCAAGGCTAGTCATAAATGTTAGGATTTCTCTTGTTCAGCCCTGTATACTAAATGAGAGAAATCAATAGATTCCTCTATCCACACTAAACAGCATGGATGTAGAATTCCCCCATACTGGTTATTGCATTCAGACTACCTGCCTCTGATTGGCTGCAGCCACTGTTTGTCCAAGAGTTTACTGCCTGACTCCTTCAATTTTCAGATTGGATTTGTTGAGCTGGATGGTGCCAACAGGGCCACCCATGGCTTGGAATATGACCAGTTCAGCGGGATCTGCCCAAAATCTTGAACAATGTGTAGCTAGCATAACATTGGGACATATTTTGCTAAGTTTAAATGATGAACAAATCTTATGGCCTGTGCACAAGATAAGAAAATTGTACAAAAATGTTTGTATGAGGAACAATTAGCTGATTATCTGATCACTAGTATAGTGCTTTCAACAGTCGATTCCGACTTTTCAGACTACAAAAAACTGAGAGTGCAGGCTAGAACATTTTTATTGCTCATAAACACAACATCCGATTTACGTTTAATGTGCGCAGTACTCATACAGAAAAAATCGAATAGAAAAAAATGTGCTTGATCAGAAGCATACAACTCTACACTCCCTCTACCACCATGCTAGTACATAGCTACGTTTGCCTATGTTTGCTTTTGTCGGTCAAGAATACCATTCTGGCTACATCATGACATCAAGATATGTACTTTCATGGAAAATTTAACGATTGGCCTTCCAATTTTCTCATAGTGTGTACTACGCTTTAGCTGAAGCTTACTCTCTGATAGAATTAATCATAAAGCCTTAAAGCTTAGCTGAACGTTAAGTATAAATTAGCTTAATACACTGTGCAAAAGCGGGTGCATGGATCCAAATGCAGACACCTGTCCTACACACAGTATCTGTATCCGAGCTGCCACTACGTCTCCATCCAATTCTATGGTCTGCATGCACGTAGATGCAAAAAAAGGGGCTCAGTATGCAGGATGGGTGCCAGCACCCATCTGAATGAACCCTATATGTTTCTATACTGGTACTCTAAGATTAGAGTATAAGAACATACGCAAAGGCACCTTGATTGTGGTGTTTAGTTTATACACATTTCTGCAAATGGGTGCTACTGAGACTTCAGTTTTGATTTGGATACTTGAGACAGGTTTTACATAGATGCAATCTGATGGCTGTCAGCACTGACTGCTGGAGAACTTTACTGGTTTATATGTTTGTCATAACTACCTCTGCCCACATGTACGCTATATTGCCAAAAGTATTGGGCCGCCTGCCTTTAGACGCACATGAGCTTTAATGGAATCCCAGTCTTAGTCCATAGGGTTCAATATTGAGTTGGTCCCACCCTTTGTAGCTATAACAGCTGCAACTCTTCTTGGAAGGCTGTCCACAAGGTTTAGGAGTGTGTCTATGGGAATGTTTGACCGTTCTTCCAGAAGTGCATTTGTGAGGTCAGGCACTGGTGTCAGACGAGAAGGCCTGGCTCGCAGTCTTCGCTCTAATTAATCCCAAGGGTGTTCTATCTGGTTGAGGTCAGGACTCTGTGCAGACCAGTCAAGTTCCTCCACCGTAAACTCACTCCTCCATGTATTTATGGACCTTGTTTTGTGCACTGGTGCGCAGTCATGTTGGAACAGGAAGGGGCCATTCACAAACTGATCCCACAAAGTTGGGGGCATGAAATTGTCCAAAATGTCTTGGTATGCTGATGCCTTAAGAGAGTTCCCTTCACTGGAACTAAGGGGCCAAGCCCAGCCCCTGAAAAACAACCGCAAATCATAATCCATCCTCCACCAAACTTTTTTCTTGGCACAATGCAGTCAAGCAAGTACCGTTCTCATGGCAACCGCAAACCCAGACACGTCTATCGGATTGACAGACAGAGAAGCGTGATTCATCACTCCAGAGAACACGTCTCCATTGTTCTAGAGTCCAGTGGCGGTGTGCTTTACACCACTGCATCCGACGTTTTGCATTGCACTTGGTGATGTACGACTTGGATGCAGCTGCTCGGCCATGGAAACCCATTCCATGAAGCTCTCTACGCACTGTTGTGCTAATCTGAAGGCCACACAAAGTTTGGAGGTCTTTAGCTATTGACTCTGCAGATAGTTGGTGACTTCTGCTCACTGTGCGCTTCAGCATGCGCTGACCTTGTTCTGTCATTTTACATGGCCTACCTCTTTGTGGCTGAGTTGCTGTTGCTCCCAGTTGCTTCCACTTTGTTTTAATACCACTAACAGTTGACGGTGGAATATTTAGTAGCAAGGAAATTTCATGGATGGACTTATTGCACAGGTGGCAACCTATCACGGTACCACGCTTGAATCCACTGAGCTCCTGAGAGCGACCCATTCTTTCACAAATGTTTGTAGAAGCAGTCTGCATGCCTAGGTGCTTGATTTTATACACTTGTGGCCATGGAGGTGATTGGAACTCCTGAATCCAATAAGGGGTGTACAAACACTTTTGGCAATATAGTGTATCTTTGCAATATTTTCACTTTGCACCAAACTGTATATTAGCTGCTTTCCCATTCAAACGATTTAGGAATAATTTTCAGCTAGTTATATGGATTCCTCTATGGACAGTAATTCTTTAAGAATGAATGTCAGACACAGGACTCAATGCACAGTTGACCCCATCACCTCGAAATGTATTTCCCCATATTATTTTGCAATTGTAAGTCTCAGGATGCCAGCTCTTATATGCATTGTCATAAAGACGAGCTTTGAATTTCTGTTAATTTTTACCAACGCTTGGCAGCTACAGTTGAATGGCCATTTCTTGTGACAGAATAATTTCACACATAACCAATAATTGAACATATTAGGAGTAAATTATCTGAGCTAAAAAAAGAGGATGTAATTATAATAATTCTTGTATCTTAGCGAAATTATCCTATTTGCTATTTCTGTTGGCTCCGCTTCTATTGGAATTTTTCCCAATGCTGTGCTATAGGATAAAGCTGTTGTAAACATGGGAGGGCTTGAAATATCTGTAGAAAAAATACCTGTTTTAGATATGGACCACAGGTAAATAGCATTTGGATTTGATTTACAAACCTTGCTATATGGTTCTGTTACTCTGGTAACTTAATCGAGAAAATAAGCCTTGAGTTTATTCTTTCATCAAAGGTGCTATAGTATTAATGGGCTGTGTATGGAATTATATACTTAGGTATACACTGTTTTTAAAGTGATTGTTTCCTCTGTGTATTCTGGCAAAAGAAAGCTTAACTTCTCCCCCTCCCATTTACCAATTTTATATATGCGCACCTATTTCTTGCTCTTGTTGCTCCGTTTTGCCACCGGAATCTCTGGGTATGAGTGATTAACCCCCCCCCTCTTCCATGAGACAATGCTGGTGCCTCACTATTGGGGTAGAGCTCTCACATGGGGCTAGGCAAAGGTCCAAAGCCTATATAAGCTTTGACAAGCAGGTCTGGAACTTACAAAGGGCTTTCTTTCCTCTCGGGGACCACACAGAGCAGCAAGGGGAGCTAGGAAAGGTGCGTATATGGTGCTAGGGAGAGGGGGGTTAAGTTGCCCATTTACTGTCCACTGACTTGGCAAAGGAAAGGGTCATTTTGTTGTAGCCCAGCAACATCTTAGGAGCCCTGCTTTTTCCATGGACAAAAGCATCAGCAGCAGCATTTATATAGTTACACTGTTGTTATTTGTAGGGTCATACCTGTGTTTTGTTCCCCCCCCCCATGCCCCACACAAGTAACCCGCCCTAGATATTTAAAACTGAACAACAAGTATGGATTTTTATTGCATAGTTACATTGGTCCAGCTTGAATTTACAATACCTGTGGGAATGCTGTGAAAGAGAATCAATGTGGTATTCAACGCCACTGCAGTGTTTGCTGCTTTCTCCCAGGTCCCGTGCCAAACAGCTGCCCTGCTGCATAGAAACTACAGGGGGTTGCTCATTTGGCACGGGAGCCATTCACAAAACGCCTTGCATTTTTCTCAGTGAATGCAAGGTGTTCTCTGATTAGACAAGGTGAAGAGATGGTGCAATGACATCACTATCTCCCTAGTCCAATCAGACACTAAATCCATGGGGTTGATTTACTAAAGGCAAATAGGCTGTGCACTGAAATTGCAGTTGCTGTAGATCTGAGGGGAACATGCAAGGAAAAAATTAAAAAAAAAATACATTTTTGCTTGCACATGATTGGATGAAAGAAATCAGCAGATCTTCACCTCATTTCAGAGCTTCCCCTTGGATATAAACAACTGCACTTGCAGTGCACAGTATATTTACCTTTAGTAAATCAACCTCACTGTGTTCTGTGGATGGCGGCCATGCCAAGCAAGCAAGCAACCCCCCGTGGTTACTATGCAGCAGGGCAGCCACTCAGCTTGGGACCCAGAAGAAAGCCGTAATCACTGTAGTACTGGTCACTACCAGGGGCGGACTGACAACTCATGGGGTCCCCGGGCAATAGGGGATCATGGGGCCCCTGTGTCCTTGGCCAAACTCAAAAAGCCTATGAAAAAGGTACCAGGGGCATCTCATGGGGCCCCCTACTGACCCCGGGCCCTCGGGCAGTGCCCGAGTTTCCAAATGGTCAGTCTGCCCCTGATCACTACTACAGTGATTCTCTGCTTTCACAGCGGTCGTACAGGTATACTATATGCAGATTTACATATATGAAAGCTGGACCAAATTAACTATGCAATAAAATTCATACCTGGATTTCAGATTTAAACCTAGTGGAATAAGTAAAATGAAATGGCTGTTGCCTTCCTTGGAGCAAATCCTATCAGTTCCAGGGTGAGCCATTGGGGTTGATTTACTAAAGGCAAATAGGCTGTGCACTGAAAGTGCAGTTGCTATAGATCTGAAGGGGACATGCAAGGAAAATAAAAAAATAGGATTTTTGCTTGCACATGATTGGATGAAAGAAATCAGCAGAGCTTCGCCTCATTTCAGAGCCCCCCGGGATATAAAGCAATTGAACTTGCAATGCACAGTATATTTATCTTTAGTAAATCAACCCCTATATATCCTTGAGGGAAGTCAGCATTCAGGAGTGCAGCAGATGCTCATTGAAAGTGCATTGGTCATTGTAGCCATGGATGGGGTATGGTCAGTGCATGGTGAATGTACCAAACAAATATTTTCACACTCATTTAATTATCAGGTATGTATTCATTTTTTTCTGTAGAGATTTAAAAGGTTGGTTCTGGGTAGATTTATCACCCACTGACATCATGCACCCTTCTGGCAATGTGGTTTTGGCACCTCGGTTCCTAGATCGGGTCATCTGGCCTGACATTTAGGGCCATGTCTGATTGGAAATCGTTCCCTTTTGCTGGCCTGTAATGGCACAGAAGCTCACTCACTAGCAAGGAAGAGTGAGAGAGCAGTATCTGATGGGACTGGTCTGTACGCCTTCCCAACTCGCCAGCAGATTGGCTTATCTGACATGGCCTTTACTAATACAGATAACAACACTGGAGTCATTGAAATATATTAGTAGCTGATGCCTGATTCAGGCCATCAGCACCCACACTCAAATGAAATAGCTTGAGATGTACTCATGATTTATAAAATAGTTAGTTATATTCTGATACTTACCTGTTCAGTGTTCATAGAAGGGACAAACCAGCCAAAATCCAGTCTATTGGAAGGTAAGGATATACAGGTGTACCTTGGATTACAAACGCATTTGTTAACGTAACTTTCGGTTTACGAATGAAAATCCATTGAAAATAATGCAGCGATTTATGAATTTTTTACAAATTGTTTTCGCAATACAAACTGTATGTCGGTGACGATTTTTAAATGCAATTGCCGGCTTTTTTTTCCCTTCACTAAAGCTCACAGAATTAGCTGTCACTTTCCCCAGAGCTAAAGGATACTTTGTTTCTGTTATCTCGGGAAACAAACTAAAAGGAAACTTTCTTTCTTTTAGCTGGGGGGAAAGTGACAGCTGATTCTCTGAGCTATAGTGGAGGAAAAAAAAAGCCGGTAATTACATTTAAAAACCGGCACTGACCTATAGTGACAGCAACTTTTTTTTTTATTTTTTCTGACCTCCGGAACGGATTAACTAGTTTTCAATGCATTTAATGCACGTCCTGGAGAACACATTAAATTCGTAAACCGAGGTACACCTGTAATATGATGTATGTCAGATCCATCAAGGCTAGCTATGTGGATTGTTGCAGCCAGCTATATGTAATTCACTCATGTATTTGTGTGACATTGCAATCATTGTAGCACTGCCCTGAGTTATGGATCAGAAGAGATGATTTCAGTACCAACTAGACAAGTGCTATCAGTTAATTCCCAGGCAGCATGGTAGATGTAGTGTAATCTTAACTAGAGAAACAATATTTCCCTATTGTAGAGTCATCAAAATTTGATCAACAAACCAAAGCTGTATCTACCGGCCCCTGGCAAAATCTATTGTATTCTTGAGACAAGGGCCGCCATGCCCGGCTCCTGCTATAAAGACATTGTTTGAAAAAGATGTATTTTTATTATTCTAAATAAAAGATCTAAACTGATGAATGTGGTTTTGTTTCAGAATTGCTCATTTTGTTATAATCAAGTTTTAAATAAATTGTGAACTATTAACTTTGCATTACACAGGTCCAGAGCTGTTCCACTTAGGCAAAGTAAGCTGCATGGGACTAATGTATAACTAGTGGGATACATTATGAAACTACAGTAAATAAAACAGGAATAAGTGTTCAAATGTTTCCCTATAACAGTCAGATTCCTTCTTTTATTATAGTTGTGTAGGCAAAGGTGGACTGGGCTCGTGGACAGGTGGACTGGGCTCGTGGGCAGGTGGACAAGTGGGACAACATTTACCTGACAAACAAGTACAAATAGGTTATGTTGGGTTAGTGGCCATGAATGGAGATATTTAGCCACTTCATTACAGGGCACTTTTACCTCATTCCTGCCCAGGTCAATTCTCAGCTTTCAGCACTCTCACTTGGAATGAAAATTGAGCGATCATGCAACACTGTACACAAACTACATTTTTATCATTTTGTTCACACAACTAGAGGTTTCTTTTGGTGGTATTTGATCACCACTGGGTTTTTTTATTTTTTGCTAAATAAACAATAAAAATAAAAAAAAACAGGTTTTTTTTGTTTCGTTTCTTTATAAAATGTTGTAAATAAATAATTGTTCTTCATAAATTTAGGCCAAAACGTATACTGCTACATTTCTTTGGTTTAAATAACCCAAATTGGTGTACCTTATTTAGTCTGTAGGAAAGTTATAGAGTCTGCAAACCATAGAATATTTTTAAAAATCAATCCTGTTGTACTGACGGCCTATCTCATTTCTTGAGAAAATGTCAGGACAGTACAACTACCCCCCAAATGACAGTACAGACATCCCCCACA